CGGCAACGTGGAAAACAATAAAGGCGCCACGTCCCGCGTAGGGTTTATGCAATGAGATCGCCGCTCTCGTAATTCCGATAACGCGATAATGTTGACCACCCTGGCGGCCGAAACGATTTATAAGTCCCTATCTCCGACGGGTCGTTTTAAATTATGTAGCTCTTTTATTACGGTGAAAGACGATCGTCCGGCTGGAAACGCCGTTGCGGCCGCCCACGGCGTTCGTTCCGCCTACGCACACAACATCAAAATGTGACGAGGGACGACGTGAGCGTGCGCGCGAGCGCACAGCAATTAATAATACGGTCGTCATTAACGCAAATGCGAATCGCTGGACAAACCTAAATTATCAGGTGGACACGGTCGAGTGAACACGTCTGCGACGGCTGAGGACGTGGCGCGCAACAAAATGCAGGGATGAACTGTATAGGACGGCGACGGCTGTATTTTTACTTTACGATGTTGTATTTCACCTCTCGCTGTATATACGCCGGTCGAAACGCCGCGGTTGCGAGAGATCGATTACAATGTCAACGAATCTCGGATGTGCCGCGCCGCCATTAATGCGATCTTACGCTCCATATATTTCCCCTGTCTTGTCGTTATCGTATAAATTTTGTTATCCATTAAGGCACGAGCGCGCCGCGTAAGATGTTAACGACGATGTGCTAACGAGGCTGGCGAGACCTTCGCGATATCGAGCCCTCAAGGAAAGACCTTGTTCCGTCTAATGGATCAATTAGTCCCGTCTAACGGGCGTCCAATCAATGTCAATGAATACCCATTATCACTAAAACCAATTGCTAACGATATTCGCAGGGTGACGCGGCGTCGCCCGGCTGGATTATCGTTGCCCGCCAGGCCGAGTCCCGATAGAAATACCGCAGCGTATCGAGATAACCATAACGAGCTGTGAAAACGAATTTCCACCGACGGTAGCGGGTGACACTGGCAAAAACACTTTCCTCGCTTCGGAGCCGACGGACGGTGCGCGCCGCTTATCGGTTTGCCCATTATCCGAATTTCAATTAGCGGCCTATACCGTCGCGATAGACGGGATACGCGTGAGCACAGAACGTACAGAGGGCGAGGGATAAAGGGCGCGGTACGTCGTTGAAACGCGGCGAAACGCTTTCCGCGCCAGAGGCCGTAAAAAAAAAGTAATAGTAATAAAGGGGAAAAAAAATACCGGGCGAAATTTTGCAACAAAAACGCTGCCGTTATTTTGATGGATTATTACGAGAGAACGGATTACGTCGACATGTTGGTGCGCGAGAGCGCGCGAGGTCTCTCCATACAATAAACGCGTGGATTGTGCGCGGAGGCGCGCCCGAAACGTCGTTATCAACGGGCAGATTATCCCGGGGAAAGAGCTCACGGTGAGATTTTAACGCGAGTTCTTTTCTTTCGGTTGTGCGCGTGTAACAGAGGCAGGTAAGCCGGTAAAGCGCTTGCATTACACTCGCTAACTTTGTCAACCTGACGTTTACGTTACGTTAAGCCGCCGAGCAAAGACGATTACAGATCCATCCGACGCAGCCATATTATAATTTAATACAACTGCGTGTCGCCGGTGCTTATTGTCTCCCTGCGCGGAGTCTGCATAAATTATCGTGGTGCTTTGACAAGAAAAAGAAACCAGATTCTTCGAGCGTGTTTAACGTGCAGTAGCGGAACGCATGCTATCTTGGATAAGCTTACCGTAGTGTGGAGCTGATGCCGATCCTCGTAATCCTCGTTTCGAGGCTGACACTTTACTTGCTTATTCACGACGAGTTTCATAGATGCACCGTGTTTCAATATGCACGCGTTAAAGTTTCGATGAGTCTCGACTGCTCCGAAACTCTTGAAATCACGTCCGCTTCGTATAATTTGCACAGACCAACGTTTAATAACGTTTATCTCGTAATATCCATCCAAGGTTTAAGTAACCGGTATCAGTATCTTGATAAGTATCTTAATCGGGATGTAGAAACGGCCACCGGTATATTCGGCGACCGGACACCCTCCTCGAAATGAAGACTCTGAAGGCGAGAATGCGGGAAATTTGTGGAAGCGCTATTATGAAACACGTAAACTATCCCGCGTCCTCGGTAGCGAGCTATCGATATTAATCCTGGACCGCTTCCGATTGTTCGAGATCATTTCGAAAACTCGGAAATCTCGTACGTCACCATTTTGTAGCCACATTCTGATACATTTCGGTGAGGATTTCGCGGCACGATTGATGCAATCGATTTTCTTGCAACCGACAGAAAACGTTCACCGCCACTGATAGGAAAATCCGACGACCGAGCGACGAGCGATGCAAAACATCCGCACGCTTCCCGGCGACTGGAAGGGTGGACGAGAGTCGGAGGCTCTCGGGGGTGGATTGTGCGCATGCGACATAAACAAACCGTAAAGAAAAAGCCAATATACCGGGTGGGAGACTCCGGCAGTCTCTGGTGTATTCAAGTAGATGACATTATAATATACAATGGTTTGGAACGGTAGTTCTGTGTTATAAGCGCAACGGACTTTGGCACTCCGGATATCCGGAATATCGCGCGAAACCGATAAAGGAAACCAGAATCGAAACCCCGGTTTCCGGAGAATGCAAATCATTCAACAAAACTGGGGAAAAAATTCGCGTCGCCTGTAAAATACAGGATATTCGCCGATGTCGTGTAACAACAAGTTACAAGTATTCGCGTTATTCAGGGCGTACAAAACCGCTGTGCAAATACGATCAATTTCAACGAAGTAGAAAACGTGCAAAAAGTGGCGTTTTATTTTATTTAAAGCTTGCAAAAGGGGTCCTCTTTTTTGGTAAACTTCCGGATTCATTGTCTTTCGATCGTACGATAAATCATTGTTAAATAACACGTACATAATTTTAACGTCACTTAACGGTGCAACGATACGTACGTCTGACATATTATCTGCTCTATCACTGACAAGCCACCCGTGCTACTTGTGCTCTGGATACAATGTACTCTACGCTATTCCGTAGGCTTGCAGTCCGTCTGACTAACAGTCTAGATGCGCTATAGATCCTCGCCTTCTCCGTGAATTGCGGTCTTAGAGCAGATATCTCAAACGATGACATTTGCAGTACGGCATAAACGTGCACCTCGCATTAACCCTCTCGCGGCTACGAAACCGACGATAACGTTCCATTAACAATGGTGATTACCGCACGCGATAACGATATCAGAGTTGAGCAGAGACTTATCATTAACAAATAGCCTAGCGTAGAGGAACTTACGAAGTAAGTCTCGGAAGTGAAGTATTAGTTTTTATTACTTTATTCGCACGCTCGACTGGATACGAAAAGTTTATGATTCTCATATCAACACTTTTATTAAATGGCTTTCAAAAATTAAAAAATTTTAATAATGCACCCAAGGTGTAATAAAAGGATATAAAAAGGAAATTTAAGTCTTTTAATATATTTATAAGTTATAATACATTGAGTTTTTTTAGTATTTTCATCGTTTGATAATTTTTAAATTATTTCTTGGGTCTTAGTTCTTAGACCTTAGTTTAAAGTTAAGGGAAATCCCTTTCTAAAAAAGGCATGTTATTGATATTGTTGTCGCTTTTCCGCGATGTTAATTGGTTGTTGGTTGTCAATGACAATTCCCTGCGACTTGCACACTCGGCTCTCTGAGCTAAGATGGAATAGGTCACATCTCGGCTCTCTGAGCTAAGATTGAAGTAATCACTTCTCGGCTCTCTGAGCTAAGATGGAATTAGTCGCTTCTCGGCTCTCTGAGCTAAGATAGAATTAGTCACATCTCAGCTCTCTGAGCTAAAATGGAATAGGTCACATCTCGGCTCTCTGAGCTAAGAGCGAAGTAATCGCATCTCGGCTCTCTGAGCTAAGATCGAAGTTAATCGCTTCTCGGCTCTCTGAGCTAAGTTCGAAGTAATCGTTTCTCGGCTCTCTGAGCTAAGATGGAATATGTCGCTTCTAGGCTCTCTGAGCTAAGATGGAATAGGTCGCTTCTCGGCTCTCTGAGCTAAGATCGAATAGGTCACATCTCGGCTCTCTGAGCTAAGATCGAAGTAATCGCTTCTCGGCTCTCTGAGCTAAGATGGAATTAGTCGCTTCTCGGCTCTCTGAGCTAAGATGGAATA